ACGCTGAACAAACATGAAGCGTTATCTATGCTATGATTTTCACCATGATTGCCTAACTTACTGTTCTTTTTTCCAACCTTTTCAGCCATAAAAAACCTTGTTCGACAACAGCTTTTCATAAATCAGCACACTCCTTCCCCTTACCCTATTTTAGGGGTTGAACCTAACCGTGCCATGCATCTTTAACAAAATATTTCTGTGTTCGTTTGTAGGTATCACTCACTCTCATAAACAGTCTCACGAAGAAGAATGGCTGCTCTCTTGATAAAAAATACTTTTATATTGGCTAAATCTCTTAAAATTCTAGCTTGAAGGAGTGAATACTCCTGATGTCGCCAACGTCCTATCTTCACTATGTGTTAAGTCACAGCTGGAATGTAGAAAAACATTGTACCTCTACAGCGCCTGACAGCTCCCGTGCCCCCTCCTAGCTTCACAACTGACCCTTCCTACTTGGCCCCGCCCCTTTTTTGCTCTGTTTGCTCCAAATTCAACATTACAAACCTCGGTTAAACTCTATTCTCCTTTCTGTTACTTCACCGATTCAGCCAATAACTATTTATGAGGCACCCTGCTAATTCAGTTGTGTAAGGTTCCCACTGCCACCAAAAAGCCCTGACTATCGGGGCCATGGACTTCCACTAGACCTCTGAAGGTGTGTTGTATCTAAGCACAAACCTTAGCCAGCGATCCTTTACGCCCTTTTAAGTTGTGAGTGTGCCTATCATGGATTCGCGACTTGTTTTTGTCCACACATCCCAAGATGCTTTGATTGGACTGAGATCTGGTGAATTTCAACAAGTCACACACCTTACTCATGTTGGTTCTACCATTCCTGAAGCATTTTTTGCTTTGTTCCATCGACGCATTATCCTGCTGAAAGAGGCCACATGCATCAGGAATACCGTTTCCATGAAGGAGTGTTACATGTCTGCAACCACCGGTATAGTAGGTGGTAGTTGCAAAGCAACATCCACATGAATGGCAGGACCCAAGTTTCCAGCAAACATCCGCCAAACATCACACTCCTCCACCGCTTTCCTTTCCCATAGTGATCCTCGGTGCCATGTGTTCCCCAGCGTAACAGCACACACAGGCCACCCATCCCAAAGATGGTTTAAAGAAATGTGATTCAAAAACCACCTTTCCAATCTCTGTGGTCAAATTATTGCATCGCTCACGTGGGCCATTGCTAACACCTTTCCCTGCAGCTGACATGTGGTCAGCATAGGGCACGCATTGCTACGCAGCGCCAACCACAGCAAAACTGTGATGCACTGCTGTTCTGACACCTTTCTACCAAACCGAGCATTACTTTTCGCAGTTGGCTTTACATCTAACCGCTCCGTCTGTTGGAATCAGACACACGGGGCCGCCTCACTTTTCCCCCACGTGATTTCAATGAAGCCTTTCTGGCCCCCCAATACCCTATCTCTGGGCACCACTTTCCTTCCTTGGATTCACTTTTGAAACTATGGTACTGCCTCTGCAGACCAGGAACACCACAAGGCTGCAGTTTAATAGCTAGTACCTAGCTACACATATTCCATACTACCAGGAAAGGAGAAAGTTGACTGGGGTTCTGACCAAGGCTTGCTCAACTGTTATTGGAGCACAGAGCGAAAAGGGGCAGGACTTAGACTCAAACTCTTATGACTTCCAGCCAAAATCTGCTGCACTTTTCTGAGAAAAATACCTGCTGGAACCTCAGATTCTTTGCATGTGGGCCTGTGTGTACGGACTTGAGGCTCATACCATCTTTCCTGAAACAAACAGGCCTTTTCCATATTAATCCACCTTATTAATACTATCGTGCAAATGTCACAGCTAAATACTGAAGTCTGATCTTAAAATACCATGGATAACATTTTCAGCTGTAGCAATTTCTTTCACTTAGTTTGCAATTAGATTTTTGTAAAATTTTAGTAGTTTAGTATATAAATAGTTTACAGATCAGCTGAGCAGTGAAATGTTGTAGAACAATAGCGTGAGAGTGTGAATTCTGAAAACAAGACTTATAAGTGGTTAAATCAGACATGCGGCATTCAACAGGTGAAGCATAGAGTGCAGAAGATGTGTTGCACTTTGGTCTGGAGATTTCACAGCCAGGTCGGTAATCTGCATGTGATGTAGAAGGAATGTTTACCTGGGATCTTGGTGGGATCGCGAGCCCTTGCCCTCCTCCAGTCTGCTGCCCAGTGTGGTGTTGAGGTAACGGATGTCAAACAAGAGCTGCAAGGCTCTGTTCTGAGTCATGGGGAATACACCCTCCTGGAGGATGGAGGAAGAGAAAATTCAGAGAAATTCAGGAAGCTAATGGGGATCCAAATGATTGAAAGTCCACATCCTATCCCCTCTTTTTACTCCCTCTTTTGTCCTTCCTCGTGTTTTCCCTTCTAATTTTTTTTTCTGTTTTCTTCCCTTCTCTTCTATATCTATACGTGATGAGACAAATGTTACATCCATGCCAACTTTTACAGCCTAGAGTACAAAAGTTCCCTTGTCCTCAGCACTGTGTGTGTGCATGTGTGTGTGCGGGAGTTACCCTGCTGCGGGGCTGCTGTGTGAGCCCTTGGTAATGGTGAAGGGCCTGAGCCAGACAGGCCTGCAGCAGCTCCTGCAGGGTGGGCCGGGGCAGTGCGTGGCCCCCCACCCTGTTCACCTCCACGCATAGCTGGAACAGCAGTGACTGCACAAACCAAGATGGCTGCAGAGGACAGAAGTTTCACATTAGATCATTAATGAAATCAGAAAACACCGTTCTTTCTGTCTGTGTTGGAGACCGTGTGGAGCGGGCTGACCTGGACCGGAAGACGGATTTTGGATGTGACGCTGCTCCCAGACTCTGCTTCTTCTTGGATCTCCAGATCCTCCCAGTTTGTTGCTGTTGTTAGGATGTCACCAGCAGACTCAGCATGCAGCGCTGTGCCAAACTTATCCAGCAGCACCTGTCACAACACAGCAGTGTTACTGAGCAGATTCCATTTTGACTACTTGAGGGCAGCAGAACAAAAAACAATGCAGGCATATTATCAGCTTATAACCAAGCAGCAACCTCTGTGGCTGACAAATCATCAACATAAAATGCCCAACTTTAGAGCAGAAATAAACATGTTTACAGACCTGTACAAAAACAGTTTTGGTATCTATAGTTTATTTCCCCGTACTGTACAGGGTGGATTTTTATGTAACTCACCCATTTTAATTATATATAGGTTTAAAATTATGCATAATTAAGGGGTGTGGCCACTTTGGCGACATGGGTGTCGTCACTGTTACAGTTTCCAGTAACCTGGCTTCATTCAGACCACCCATGGGTGGAGCACCTATGTCCACTTGCTGACAGCCTTTTGTTCACTGACTGAATTAGTCTACAGATCTATGCTGTTAGCGACTGAATGTAAATCACTGCCAGAATTAATGACACAGGTTGGAAGAAAAAATATAAAATAAAGCACTACCAGACAACATGCAACAATTAAAGTCTGAGTCTGACTTTGGAGAGGGCGGAGCTCCAGATGCGGTAAGCCTCCATGCTGCAGCTGAGAAGCTCCTCCTTCAGACCCGCCCACTTGGCCTGCACGGGGCTGACCTCTGCGGCAGCCCTGGCCTTTCCCAGCTTCTTGCTCTGTCTGGGGGTTCCCTTTGCCACAGCCTCGGACCCGCCCTGTTTTCCCAGGATGCAGTGCTTCAGGTTGGGGCAGAGTTCACCCATGGACTGGCACAGCCTGGCCATAAAAAGGACTGAACTGAGGTGAGCGGGGCTGGGGTCTGGTGAAGCTGCGGCCAGTTCAGAGCGGACGGAGGACAGGATGTGGCGAACACAGGCCAGACAGCCTTCGCGTAAAGCCTCCTCCACTGCCGGCGAGTCTGTGAAACGGTTAAAAGAGGATGCTGACGAGCTCTCGGAGGAAGCAGAGGTGAATGTGACTGGGATGGAGTCAGACCCTGCAGAGCATAGTGGGAAAGATAAATATTTATCAGTCATTAGCTAGCACGTGATAATAACACTGGGTCTGTATGGCTGTACTGAACACTGAGTAACAGCCATGCTTGGAGATGTTTGCGGTTTGCCACTTCAAAGCCAGTAGAACACAGACTCCATGTGACAAATCAGAGTAATAACAGGTGTTAGGACATTTCGATGTGGCCCCCCTTATAGAGACTTGTTCAAGACTGTCCTTACCTGTTTCCTGGGAAGGAAGATAGTGCTGGAGGTCATCCAGCCTGGCCTTTAGCTTTGCATCCATGGAGGAGCAGAAGTTTTGAACACAGGGTGTCAGGGCCTGGGTCTTCATGGCCAGGCTGCTTCTTTGGTGCTGCTGCCCCCGCTGGGTTACGCTGACCCACCCTGCATCACTCAGCAGATCCCCCGGAGACTCCGACCACAGGAAGGAGGCCACATCTACTTCATACTGTGCTCCGCGGCCAGAGCTGGGGTTGGTACCCGAAGAAGTATGAATGGTCTGGCCCTCCAGGTCCCTCACAGCTGAGGTGAGGAGCTGGACGGAGCTCATTGAGATGGCTTCAGTTTCTTCTTTGGTGATGGCCTTAAATGGAATTAAAGGAAATAATCTTTGGAATGTTACAATAATATTTTTTTTTTTTCAGCAGGCAGGCCTGTCTCTACTGTGAGTGTAATCATGACTTGAATTTTAAAAAGAGGCACAAATCCATACAAAGTCAATAGATAGACCTGTTTAGATACCGAAAACCACGATAATAACTGACCCTTCCAAAGCCCCACCCCTTTTTCCACTGTGCTCCAATAACAGTTGAGCTAACCCTAACTTTATCCTTTCCTGTATGGCCATTTTTTTTACCCAGGATGGCGAAGTCATGACCCACTCTACTCTGGCTCTGATTGGCTAATACTCACAGCCTTTATTGGTTTGGCTGGTTATGTTTAGGTTGGACTTGGTTAGAGCTAAGGTAAGAATGTCAGGGTAAGCCAATCAGAGGCAGAGTAGGACAGGTCATGACTTTGCCACCCTGGGAAAAAAATATTGCTGTATCCTGTACTTAGATATGCTATGTGCTAGGCTTGTCTATGTTAAAAAGACAACCACATTTTGAAGATGTTTAAAAAGGTAAAAGCAACATATATTCACATCTTAAGTTAGCTAATGTTAAAAATGTTAGCTAACTAGCTAACTAACAATTGATGTAAATTAGCTAGCTAGTTAGCTAGTGTTTTGCTAACATTAGCTAGCTAACTTAAGATGTGACTATATGTCACTTTTGTCTTTTAACCATCTTCAGCCTATTGCAAAGACCTTCCTCTTTTTAACCACCTGCCGTTTAACCATTCCAAACTTCCGCCCCATTTCTTTCCCTCAAAATGCCGAAAAGCTTGGTTTCAAATGCCCTTTGTCTCCTTTCCAGACTGGAAATACTGTAAACTGCAACTTTTTTCATTGGGATTCCGGGCAAGTCTTGCAAAAGAGGTTTCAAGTTAACAAATCAAAGAAAACAACTTTCTGCAAAGCGTAGGAACGATGGAGTGGCCGGAAAAACGATTGAAGCACATTTAACCCCCATTTCCCACGCTTCACTTCCACACTGTTTTCCCATCTCCACCAGGATTGAAAGTACAATTTTCTCTCCCTTTCAAAAAAACCCATCAATGCATCCCATGAGGCCCCCCGCTAACTCAAAAGAACTTATCAACCCACCAAAAAAACAAACAATGCACACGCTCCCCTGCTTCCAAACTTCACTCAAAAACCTCCTCCACGATACCCAAAGAACCGAAGATTCAGGACCAATTGGAGGACTTGAGGGCTTTTGTTGGCTTTTTGCCGCCAAACGTCTGTGATTGCCCTCCCAGAACACCTTGAGGGCAGCACCAAATCCAATTTGGGGACTGGTTTAAAGAAAGGGATTCTTGATAGTAAACATATCTTTTTAAAAGCAAGCTTTTGGGTGCGACGTTTAGATGTTCTTTTATTTTTTGTGTTTACTTTTTCTCTTTTCTTATTTTTAAAAAAAAAAAAATAATGCTTTTTGTTTCTAACCTTTTGCAAACTTAGATCTTCTGATGGAAAAAGGCTAAATAAGACAATGTATCATAGTATTATTATAAAGAAAGTGCTATTTTTGCCCGTAGCTTACTGATGGTAAGAAAGTGGCGGGGACCATTTGTATTTTCAAGTTTGCTGCAGACAGCGCGGCCCAGGGTTTTGGAATTTCCCAATTGCTGACTGGCCTTTGCTGCGTTCATCCCCTCTCTCCCCGTTTTCCTGGTTCTTACTTCAAGCTGGTCCACTTCCTTAAGAAAATAAATAAAAGCCAAAAAAAAATAGTGCCTTTCATTTCTCATTTTAAACTTCTCAGTTTGGTATCAATTCCATTTATAGAGTGATAAAAAGGCTGGTCTGATCTGGTACCCTGTAAAGACCCAAGAAGGCCAGTGAGGCTTCTCACACAAGTGTCAAAAAAAAATGTTTCTATTAAAAACCAAGGTTTTCGTTGTCCGTCGGTACTGTATAAACTTGGGGTTTTAAACATGGTGGAACTATCTGGTAGAGGGGAACCCAACCTTCTAAGATGAAAAAAAGCTTTCTAAGTAGCCAAAACAAAGTTCTTATGTTTTTTTCAGGTTGGTTCATCAACTAGAATTTGAAAACAAACAACTAAGTCTATGGAATTCTTTTATACCACACTAGGACTTAATAAAGTTTTTTGCAACAAGAAGCCAGAATTTTGCCAAGTAGATTCCTTTTTCCATATTCAAGAAAAAACCAGGATTTATCCAGCAATAGTATTATTGAAGCAGCACCCTAAAAGTGACTAACACAAGGCATTATTAGGCGAAGAGGGAAATAAGAAGCGCACCTTTTTCGATGGCAGGAAGACTGTGTCTTGAAGCAGCTTCCATCAACTTAGCGGTGAGGATGTCCAGGCCTTTTCATGTCAAAAGACCATTTGCCTTATTTCCTGGCCGTCAATGTGGAATCCCAGCGGGGCAACCCG